GGACACTAAACAAATTGTGAATAAAAACTGAATGCAATGATGTGGAGGTGCCAACATCTAATATTTTATTCAGAATAGAACACAAATCACAGATCAAAAGTTTAAACTGAGAGAATGTATCATTTTAAGGGAAAAATCTGTTGTTTCCAAATTTCATGGCGTCAACAAATCCCAAAAAAGTTGGGACAAGTCCATTTTTACCACTGTGTGGCATCCCCCCTTCTTCTTACAACACTCAACAGACGTCTGGGGACAGAGGAGACCAGTTTCTCAAGTTTAGAAATAGGAATGCTCTCCCATTCATGTCTAATACAGGCCTCTAACTGTTCAATCGTCTTGGGCCTTCTTTGTCGCACCTTCCTCTTTATGATGCGCCAAATGTTCTCTATAGGTGAAAGATCTGGACTGCAGGCTGGCCATTTCAGTACCCGGATCCTTCTCCTACGTAGCCATGATGTTGTGATTGCTGCAGAATGTGGTCTGGCATTATCGTGTTGAAAAATGCAGGGTCTTCCCTGAAAGAGATGACGTCTAGATGGGAGCATATGTTGTTCTAGAACCTGAACATAGTTCTCTGCATTAATGGTGCCTTTCCAGACATGCAAGCTGCCCATGCCACAAGCGCTCATGCAACCCCATACCATCAGTGATGCAGGCTTCTGAATGGAGCGTTGATAACAACTTGGGCTATCCTTGTCCTCTCTGGTCCGGATGACATGGCATCCCAGTGTTCTATAAAGAACTTCAAATCATGACTCATCTGACCACAGAACAGTCTTCCATTTTGCCACACTCCATTTTAAATGACCCCTGGCCCAGTGCAAACGTCTGAGCTTGCTTAGAAATGGCTTCCTCTTTGCACTGTAGAGTTTCAGCTGCCAACGGCAGATGGCACGGTGGATTGTGTTCACTGACAATGCTTTCTGGAAGTATTCCTGAGCCCATTCTGTTATTTCCTTGACAGTGTCATTCCTGTTTGAGGTGCAGTGACGTTTAAGGGCCCAGAGATCACGAGCATCCAGTAGAGTTTTACGGCCTTGACCCTTACGCACAGCGATTGTTCCAGATTCTCTGAATCTTTTGATGATGTTATGCACGGTTGATGATGTTAACTTAAAAGTCTTTGCTATTTTATGCTGGGTAACACCATTCTGGTATTGCTGCACTATCTTTCTGCGCAACAATGGTGGAATTGGTGATCCTCTTACCATCTTGGCTTCTGAGAGACACTGACACTCTGAGAAGCTCTTTTTATACCCAATCATGTTGTCAATTGACCAAATTAATGTTAATTGGTCTTCCAGCTGTTCGTTATATGCTCAATTTCCTTTCTCCAGCCACTTATTGCTACTTGTCCCAACTTTTTTGGCATTTGTTGACACTGTGAAATTTTGAATCAACATATTTTTCCTTTAAAATGTTACATTTACTCAGATTAAACTTTTGGTCTGTCATCTATGTTATATTACGAATAAAATATTGACATTTGCCATCTCCACATCATTGCATTCAGTTTTTATTCACAATTTGTTTAGTGTCCCAACTTTTTTGGAATCCGGTTTGTAATTCGCTCGTGACAAATTCATTCATTTCTCACCATTTCAGTCATGGCATCAACGGAGGAGGAAGAGATCACTTGCCTCTTGGAAAAAAAAGAAAAGAAAAGGCCAGATCAGGGATGAAGAAGGGGAATTTAATATACTGGGTGTCGCATACAAAACAGTCTGTCACTGGGCAGTTTATTGTGTGACACCGCGTATGCGGTCGTAAAAATTGAGCTTTGCACGGACATGCCCTGGGGGGTACGCTCGTACCTCCGCGTACGTACGTGCGTACCTCTGCTTATGGACATACGCAGGAGTATACTGGGGGCTTGAGTCTGACTGACCCCAACAAAAATCGCCTTACAGTAATGTAGTCAGGTTGTAATGAAGGCATAGACTTATTTTTTTAAGGTCTGATCTGGTCAACACTGACTTAAGCTTAAGTACAGTATCTGCCTTAACTGGAAGAAGCTTTGTTGTAGAACAGGGTTAATCTGTTTATTAAACTTTAAGTTAGAGTCTAAAACCATCCCAAGATTTGTAACAGACTGCTCAAGAGAGTCAAGGTTAACAGGAACAGAGACAGCAGTAGAGCTAGGGCTAAACACAAGGACTTCAGTTTTCTGATTGTTGAAACTTAAAAAGTTTGAAGCCATCCATACCTTAATGTCATCAAGACATTGTAACAGAGGGTGAATTGTACATGAACTACTGGGTTTTAAGGGCAGATAAATCTGACAATCATCAACATAACACTGAAACAAAAGACCGTGTTTCCTCAGGATAGACCCCAAAGGGAGCAGATACAGTGAAAACAGAAGGGGTCCAAGAATCGAGCCCTGCTGAACCCCACAAAAAACTAATGTTCTGCATCTTTAACTACTCAGTTGTAGCTTCTTCAGCAAATTTATCCAATCATTCATCTCTCAGCATTCTCACTGCATTTTACAGAGAATGTTAATTTCTGATTTGAATCACTTTTTCTCGTTTGGAGGGATTTTTCTTATAAACAGGGTACAGGGTTACACTCTGGTTACACTACTCTGACCGCTCACAGAACTCAGCTGCAGTAACAGAAATAAATGCCGTGTATCCGTGTGAAGTCCCAGGTGGTTTGGTTGTGGAGATGCTGCTTGTCATGAACAATATAAATCCTCGTTCCTGACCAATCTCCTGTCCGTCTGCTTTTTTCTCCAGGAGAGCGCTGCGAGCTGTCGTCCCGCTCGGGCCGCTGCACTCCAGGAGTCTGCAGGAATGGCGGCACCTGTGTCAACCTGCTGGTCGGCGGCTTCAAGTGCGAGTGTCCGCCAGGCGGCTATGAGAAGCCCTACTGTGAGATGACCACTCGCAACTTCCCCCCACACTCCTTCCTGACCTTCAAGGGTCTGCGCCAGCGTTTCCACTTCACCCTTTCGCTCACGTAAGCACCCCCACCTCCTCCTTCACCACCTCCTCCTCCTCCTCTGTGGAGTTTGAGCGATCTGATTCTCACTCCCATCTACCCACACATCCCCTCAGCTTGCTCTCACCTTCACATTTTTTTAACCTTCCTGGTGTTTAGGATCGCTGACAGCCCATCCAGAGTCAAACTGAAGCCTCGGTTCTTCAGCAGATGAAGCGTTCGATGTTTATTTCACACATAGGGAGCGAATGAAGTCAGTGTTGTGGAGAAAGGGAGCTGAAGGAGTTGTGTTTGTGGAGAGGTTTTCATAACAAGGATGTTAATCTCATAAAGTCAGGTTTTATTACAGTCACTGTGTCACTCAGAGCTGTGAGTCAGAGTTTGGCCTATTTCAGCTCAGTCTTCCTCAACAGGATGAAGATGACAGAAGCTGTGTCACATCATTACCGGAGTCATTCTCTCCGGTAATTTCAGTCCAGTGCTTCTAGTGGTCTAGTGTTGCCCTAATTGTTCTGCTGCTATAACTCTGAAGGAAAAGATGTCCTTGTCCCCGTCCACCATGAACGGTAGCAAACAATACATTTGTCTGTGTTTGTGTGTTTGTCTGCCTGTTAGCAAAATATCTCATAAACCATTGGACTGATTTAAATTAAACTCTCAGAAAAGAAGTCAACCTGATTCAACATGGCCACCACACCTAACTGAGCTTCAGAAACACAAAGATATCTATACCAATCAGTAATACAGCCATTGTGCTAAAACTTAGTGTGGTAGTAGCTGAGAGTCATCCTCAAAACACACAAGCTCCTTGTTAAACACATGCAAGGTGGCGGGCGGTATGTACTCCTTCAAAGCTCGCTATAGTGTCATCCTCTTAGAAGAATTGGTATATTTTGCAATAAGCGTACATTCATTTATATACTTTGTTAGTTTAAAATGTGACATTTGTAGAGAAGGATTATTAATTTGACCCTCTGTGATTTTACCCCCCCCCCCCCAAAAAAAAAAATACTGTTTAACAAAATAATCCTGTGTTCAAGTTTCTTTATTGTCATTCTCATTCCATGTGGTACATGAGGTGGAACGAAATTGTGTACTCAAGGTCCCAGTTACAGCCAAAAATATAAAAAAATACAAAATATAAAAAGAAACAGTATAAAAAGATCTAAGTTACACACTAAGATATATGCTGGACACTAATAATGTAAAATAATATGGTATATTAAACAGCAGCCCGAACATGAGTCTGTAGTGAGTAGATGTATGAAAACAGCAGCATAAAGGCGCGAGATCAGCAGCAGATCAGCACTTCAACTTGTTGTGGTAGAAATGTTATGTATGAAATTATTTCCAAGTCATTCAATTTTTTTTTTTTTCTGTCCTCTGCGTTTAAAATCACAACAACCAAACAACGAGTTTCCGCCCTCAGAGTGGAACTGGTGGTTCTGTGCTCTGCAGCGGCGGACTCTCACACTGAAATAAAAGGCCTCATTGAGCTTAAGAGTCTCAGCTCTTCTTTAAGTGAGGATCAGGTGACGGTCCCTTTTTGAAGAAGAACTGCTCAGACCCGTTCTGAAAGCTGACTACATTTCAGCGGCGGCTTGGAGAAGCTGTGAAGTTAAAGGTGCCGATTCTGGCAGCAAGCTTAACCTCAGAGGTTCTGTTACCTGACCCGCACCGATCCAGTTTCTCTCTGGAACAGGGTCTGGGATAACAAACAAGTCTGGATGTGGAAGATGTCCACTCAGAGGGATAGGGAAACCAATGAAAGTACAGTTTTCTGTTCATAATAAAATTTAAACAGTGACTTTTTTGACCTTTTGTTTTTTTAACCCTTCAGGTAAAGTTTATCTGGGATCTTTTCAAACAGATAGGTTAGGTTGATAAACATTTTGTTTTCTTAAATATAAAATTAGCTACAGTCCCAAACCATGGACAGCGAATGTTTTGTTATATTAACGACTTTAAAAAAATCCCTTATCTAAAAGTATTCAGGCACTTCTTTGGCAGCAGTGACATCCTGAAGTCTTGTTTGGGTGAGGGCCTGTATGGGATGTTGTTTGTAAAGTTACACAGTCAAAAATTAACAACAATATTTTGGTTTATTTAGCATTTCATAAGAATTTTTTTTTATTTCAAAAGTCATATTTTCACCATATTATTCATACATTTATAAATGTCGTAGTTCCAAACTAAACATTTAATTTACAAGCTAAATATTTAGTTTACAAACTAAATACTTAACTTCCAAGTTAAATATTTAGTTAGTAAACTACATATTTAAGTGTAAATTAAATATTTAATTTCAAAGCTAAATATTTATTTTCAAACCTAAACATTTAATTTCCAAACTATATATTTATTGTCCAAGCTAAACATTTAATTTCTAAGCTAAGTGTTTCACTCCTAAACTAAATATTGAATTTCCTAGCTAAATATTTATCTCGGACATAAATTTTTATTTTCCCAGCTAAACAGTAAATTTGTAAAATAAATATTTAATTTGCTAACTGAATATTTAGCTTGGACCTAAATATTTAACTTTCAAGTTAAATATTTAGCTAAATATTTAGCTAGCAAGTTAAATATTTTGGTCCGAGCTAAATATTTAGTTGGCAGATTAAATATTTATTTGGGGAATTAAATGTTTAGTTTGGAAAATAAATATTTAGGTTTGAGATAAATATTTAGTTATCAAATTAAATATTTAGTTTAGGAATTAAATGTTTAGCTTAGACATTAAATATTTAACTTGTATATTAAATATTTAGTTTGGAGCTATGGCATTAATAAATGCATGAATGACATGGTGAAAATATGACTTTGAAAAAAAAAAAACTTATGAAAGATAAACCAAAAATATTGATGGTAATTTTTGACTGTGCAACTTTACAAATGGCGCCCCATTGGTCCGTGCTTCAGAGCTGCTCCACTCAGTTTCTGGGATAAATTAGTTTAAATTAAAGAGAAAAACATTTATAAAAGTTACGTACGTCTGGCTCATCTGTCTCGGTTTCCAGCAGCTGACTGGGAGGATTTTACCTGACGAGGAGTAAATCTGTGTCATCTCTCCCTCACAAAGGACCCTTCCACCCCACCGCCCACATCCTCTGCACTTGTTAGCATAGCGTGACATGGTTCCTCACATAAGGGCAAACTGGTTGTTATTTTTACTGATGGCTGCCTAATGCGACATGCAGTGATGCCAGTAAAGTCACCATTTAGTTCTGGCTGATTACCCTCATAGTTCAGAGGGCTCGGGGGGGCATCCTTTTAAATCGATACGTCAAAGGATGAAGAGCGGTGGAAGAGGCTCCACATGATTATTCTTCTCATCTTTCTGGACTTTTTGCTGCATTTCTCCACCTTTGTAGTCTGCCGGAGCATCAGCATCCTCTGTGCTCCGAGGTCAGGGCGATGGTTTTTATCTCAGTAAGCAGGTCAGCGTCGCCGTGCCCTCTGGCTGCTCTTCACTCCGAGAACGCAGCGCTAACAATGTCCCCTGAAAGCCCGAGGAGTGAGCGAGATGCAGGAGGACTCAGCTGCTCATGCTTCGTGGCATCACGGATCTATCCACGCGGGGCCATTAGAGCAGAGAAGTGACCTCTCTGAAAGAGAAATTAACTCACTCGTCGGACGAAGCTGCGTTTTTGTCGAGTAACTGACCAGAAAATACAGATTCAAGGAAGTCACGCACATCCGTCGTTTCACCGATGTGCTCAGGAGGCTCACCGTCGAGTGAATAAATCTGGTAGATTGTGTTTATTTTACAGAAACTCCTTCCAAACATCCTTGAGTCAGTTTCACAGCAGCCACAGCTGACAGGTAAAGTGCAGCGCTCGCTTTGAAAGAAGCAGAGAAACAACGTTCTGCTTCTGCACTTTGAACTTGGAGCGTTTCAACGAGCTGAAATGGGAATTATTGCTCCAGATGCTGAGGTTGGAGCGGCTGTAGGCGCTCGTTTCTATGAGTGGGAATGTTTTGAGCCCATTATTCTGAATGGTCTCACTGCCCCCGTTTTCATATGTGTCATTTATTGTGGCTCTCCACCTTTCCACGCAACAACCTGAACGTTATTTACTCTTCCTGACGTATGTTTGTGAAAAACATCGTTATCTGTTTCGTGATCTTTCATTAACATGGAGCTTTTTGACACCTTGGGCTCTTCCTAATGATAATGATTAGTTACGGTGTTGACAGGTCTGCTCCAGAAAGGTGAATGTGAGGAAATGGTACAGATGTTGTTAAATAGGTCAAACCAAACCTCTGCTCTTTTTCTTTTCTCTCGCATGGCTGCAATATTCAGATTTATTAACATCTGGACTCGTTCTATTTTTGGTCCCCACAACAAATGTATAATATTTTAATTATTCCAGCAGCAGCAGGTGTTTGCATCTCAAATAAAACTGTGTTTATGTACAGTAGGAAGGTTTTTCTTATTTACCATCACGCAGCAACAGGACGAGATCCAAACTACAGAATTCGTGTTCATCCTGATGAAGAAGAAGCCGGCAGAGGTCGACTAATGTGGTTTCTTTAAGACCCAAGTTAATTTTTTCACATCAGAGCAGTTCAAGGCCGATCTACAAGACTGATTTGTTTTATTTTTAGCCATTATGTATTTTACATTTAACATAAATGTAACATAATTGCTTAACTTAAAAAATAAAGTTGTTTTAACAACAATTAGGAAAACTTGGACACGTAAAAAGATGTATCTTATATAGAAGAATACGCTTGCCTAAAAAAAGAATATTGTCTGCTGGCCGACCGACAAGTTTTATTAATATTATTATTTTTAAAGTTGTAAAAATTGTCCAATTAACGGATCCACCTCTAAAAGACAGTTCAAGCTGCAAGAGTAAAACTATTGTGATTTTATTTGTAGGACTTAGTTGGGATTTGTTATTAGACTTGTCTAATATTCTGTTAATTAAATAATGTATATTATGTACCAATTCAGTTATTTTAGAAATGTAAAAAACCTAAATAAATTAAATTGATTAGGGCTTAAACGGTACTAGAGAAAAATTCAAAATAAAACTGTATTTGTTGAGACAGAAACATCTATTTTTTTTCCAGTATCATTATTTTATATTTGATGTCATTATTTGTTATTATAGTAACATATTTTCCTGTATATATCATAAACATTTGATCATATTTGTAAAGATGCAAAACAAAAAACTCAATTTCAACATCTAATTTAGTACATTTACCTTGTTATGAATTAATGACTTGCAAATATGCACTTTAAAAAAAAAATTATTAACATTTTAATACGACATTTGAGCTTGATTTGGTATAAACAAGAAACTGATAAAAAAAAGGGGAAAAAACATATGTGGATTTTATTTTTATTCATGTGTAAATGTTTCATTTATTTATTTATTTTCAGTTTTGCCACCAAAGAGCCTGATGGTTTGTTGCTCTATAACGGTCGCTTCAACGAGAAACACGACTTCATCGCCTTGGAAATCATCAATGAACAGGTTCAGCTCACCTTCTCTGCAGGTACAACACTACACAATGAGTGTTTTTATTTTTAAAAACTTCCTACCGTCTACACCCCGAACGGTTCACAATCATCCACCAATAATTTGTCCTCCAGGAGAAACTAAGACCACGGTTTCACCGTTTGTCCTGGGGGGCGTCAGTGACGGTCAGTGGCACGTGGTGGAGGTTCATTACTACAACAAGGTGAGTGCAAACTAACTGCTTCGCTCGAGATGTTTTTATTATAGCATTTTAAGAAATATAATTTTTTTTAACTTTCTTCTAAGTAGTTGAATAAATGTAATGATTAGGAGTGAATGAACAGCTGATCAATATGATTTGATAGGAACTCTGAAGTTACATTAGCATCTGTGTTTGTTGTTGTTTACCTGTATACGTTTGTATGATTAGTCTCTTGTCTTTAGTTTTGTGTGTTTTAGTTTTGTGTGCCTGTGTTCATGCCTCACCATTCTGTTCAGCCCTGAAACTCAGTTCAGCTCTGGCCCCGCCCACACTCACCTGTTGTCTTCCTGTCAGGTGTTTGTGATTATGTCCATTAGTGTTGTCCTTATATTCTCAGTGCCTCGTCTGCGTCGTGCATCGTTAACTGTTTTTAATGAGCTTCTCACCTGGACGAGTTTTCACTGTAACTCCGAAATGCTGTACCCTTTGTGTTGTTCTCTCTGCCTCCGTGAGTTTTTTGTAAGTTCTTGGCTGTCTTGTTTTTGTAAACAAACCAGTTTGTGTTTGAGATCCTGTATTCAACTGGATCTAAACCTCCCACCGACCATGACGATGAATGAAAAATAGGTTGGGTTTTCTTTACAGAAGGGATGTGTCCTTCTGTGTCGAGGCTTCGAAGCCTTAAAGAAATGCGTCTCGCCCTCCGACTTGCCGCTAAAGTTTAAAACAAAAGTCTTGCCCGATTTGTCTGCGCTCAAAGCGTGGGCAGGGGGTGACTCCCTTCATACCACATCAAATCTTAGCCCAGTCTTTGTAAAATTGACTGAGCTATTGCTAATGTCTGTTATCTGTATCAGCCATGTTGAATCAGGTTGACTCCAGAAGTTAATCAGTTGTAGATTTACATCCAGGGATTATTTTCTGTGAGTTTCATTCAAATCCACCCAGAGATTCATGCAGTATTATATACTGTATATGCAGCGACGTAGCAAGGGACTACTGTATTTAGCCTTTTCTGCCATTTTTTTTCTCATAGAAAATTAACTGAGCTCATTTTACTTCCTTCAAATCTTTAGATCTGTTTACAACCTTTTACTGCCTCTTTCCCATTTTGTTCTGGTTCAGCTTCTTTCAGCTTCCTTGTGCAAATAAAAAAAAAATTCTGCTTCTTTCAGCTGTTTTTTCAGCTGTTTTGTGCTGCTTTCTGATTCTTTCTGCTAACTACAACATTTTTGTGTTTCTTCTAACTTCCATCCATCCATCCATTTTCTTTTACCCGTTTATTCCATTTTGGGTCACGGGGGTCGCTGGTGCCCATGTCCAGCAATCACTGTGCGAGGGGCGGGGTACACCCTGGACGGGTCGCAAGTCCATCACAGGGCCACATAGAGACAAACGAGACAAACAACCATTCACTCTCTCACTCACACCTAGGGACAATTTAGAGTTACCAATCAGCCTAACATGCATGTTTTTGGTCTGTGGGAGGAAACCGGAGCACCCGGAGAAAACCCACGCATGCACGGAGAGAACATGCAAACTCCACCCAGAAAGGCCCCTGGACCGGGGTTTGAACCAGGGACCTGCTCGCTGAGAGGCAGCAGCTCTACCAGTTGCGCCACCGTGCTGCCCGTTTCTTCTAACTTCTATCTGCTAATTTCAGCTTGTTATGATCCTTTCAGCATATTTATGTGTTTCAGCTTTTTCTGCTATTTCAGCTACCATTTAGCTGTTTTATGCTAATTGTAGCTTTTTTTGGGCAAATTCCACATTTTTTTTCACCCATTTCAACTTTTTTTCAGCCTAATTCAGCATAAATGTGCTCTCTCCACTTCCTTCTGGTAAATTAAGCTTCTTTTTAGCTGCTTTTCAGCTCTTTTTTTTTGTGTGTGTGCTAATTTCAGCTTTTTTCAGATAATTTCTGTTTCTTTCAGCCTAATTGGACAAACATGCTCTTTCTGCTTTCTTCTGCTAATTTAAGCCTGTTCTACATTTTCAGCTACCTTTTAGTATTTTTAGCTAATTTCAGATATATTCAAGTTTTTCAGGGTAATGTCTGTTACTTTCAGCCTAATTAACTTCTTTATGCTAATTTCAGCATGGTATGTTCAGATTTTTTTCTTCTACTTTCAGCTTTATTAGAGTTTTCAGCTTTATCTGCTGTTTCAGCTCCTATTTAGTTGTTTTATGCTATGTTTAGCTTTTTCAGCTATTTCCACATTTTTAAAGCTCATTTAATCTCTTCACTTTCTTCTAGTAGTCTGTGATTCTTTCTGCTTTTTCAGCTACTTTTCAGCTTTTTTGTTGCTTATTTCAGCTTTTTAAAGCTAATTTCCTCATTTATGCTTATTTAAACCTAATTCAGCAAATTTGTTCTTTGTTCTGCTAATTTAGGCTTGTTCTTCCATTTCATCTACATTTCAGCATGTTTTAGCTAATTTCAGCTGTTTTTCAGCAAGTTCTTCAGCAGTGAGCGTTCACACTGCATTTTTTTTTTTTGCAGGAAATGTGATTCCTCTGGTTTTAATTGCAAGTTGTAGAGAAGGAAAAAACATAATTGATTATTTCTTGATGTAAACATGCTATTTATGTAATCAAGAGCTGGAAAACGCTGAAACTATCAAACTAATGAAAGGCAATTAAGGAGATAGAAAAACTGAAAATAATTCTCAGCATCTATTCACAGCTGCTTTCTTTGTCTCATAGCTACTGATGATTTGCATCATTTGCCGTCAGCAGACTGTAGTTGTCACAGAGGCAGAGATAACTGGCAGCTGTCACTCTTGGTGGTCTAAGATATTCAGACCATCTCTGGTGGGCGTAAACTGGCTGCAGACAGCCGACTGTGCACTTTTAGCTTCTTGTTTCGCCTTCTTCAGGCTGCTGCTCTATAGGACTAAAGACTCGCTGCCAACGAGCCGATGATCTGGAGGAGAGCCAACTAGACGCTGACAGAGGGACAGACATGAATGAAACCCACAGGGTGGAACGCCATTGTTCGTCCAGACGTGCTCGGTTGTTCTAAATATGTTTGACTCTGTCAGAATATGAGAACAGCTCAATCAGTGCAGGAACGTATGGAGCTGTTGTCTGTGTGCGTAGGCCTTAACACATTACGGGCCATAAGTTACACATTTTTCTACTGAGGAAGTCACTTTGCATCATAAAGATGTTGCCAGGCAACCCCCCTGCTGGGCGCACTTTCTATTCAGTAAGATGACAAGAACAAGTAAGATTCAGCACGAGTGATGAACAGGAGGAATCTGGCTGAGTTCAGGAGGAAAACTTGTTGACTCTGTTTCTCTTATAGTCTCATTAATCACTTTGGGAACAATGAGCCCAGATTTAGTGGAACAACAGTGTTTGTAGTTTCTCTAACCTGCCTCTTTCAGTGCAAACGTGTTGCTTTTAATTACCCCTGTGATAAAAATAACTCAAGACTTCTACGAGACGATGCTCTGATCAAGAACACACCTCTCTATGAAGCTGATGCTGAAGTTTAGGTGTTCATGTAGCCTTTATTTATTTAGGTTAGCCAGTTATTACTCAAAAGCAACAGTTAGTTATATTCTGAAAAAAATCACAATAAAACAAGATTAATAATTCGTTGGAGTCATCCCTCAGTGTTTTATAATTTGCTTCCAAGCTGCCAGACTTTCTTAAACTAATTCAGAATGATGCAGATCTGCAGGTCTTCAGAGTTTCTGAAGGTTCATCAACGTTTTTCTTTGAACCCAGGCGGCCTTTTTTACTCGTTTCCAGTCCTTCCTTGAACATGTTGTGCAATGTGTGCTTAAAAAATGAGAAAAGTGGACGAGTGAAAGACGAAGTCTGGCCTGATCAACTATCTTCAGTAGATGAGTCATATTCAAAAGAAATGACAAAAAAATTAATGGAAGACCTGAATCAGGACCTGAATCAGAACCTGAATCAGGACCTGAGAGACGGCTGTCCTGCTGTTGATGGATGCTGTTTTCATAGTAGCTCTTTAGAAATCACGTTATTGGTGCCAGAATTCTACTTCATGCCTCAAACTAAGTTATCTTTAGTGATTTTAATGCGTTCAACTAAATAATTGAAATAAAATGTGTATTTGTACAGGTGACATAAAATAATATAAAATACTAGCTATCAAGAAGTAGTTAGTAACTTTAATATGCACTATAGGAGCAAATGCCAAACAATACATTCTTCTGAAAACAGAAAGAAAATGAGTTGAAAAGAGCCAAAGTCGTAAAAACAAATGTTTGAAAAACTTTTAGCTCTTTGGGAGTCACCTTGTTGGTACTAGTATACAACCTTTCTGTGTCAAACTGCGTTATCTTTGGTGTTTTTATGGATTAAAGTGGTGACTTTGTCACAGGCTACTTGTAACAAAGTTACCAGCTAAAATACTAGTTACCTAGCTTATACTTTCAGCTACAACAAGCCAAACTTAGAGTCAAATTTACTGTTTTCTCAATATTTTTATATGAAGAACAAAGCACAGTTTTATCTCGTCAGTTCCAAAGCTTTTTCTATATGTGAGCAAATAACCAACAAATGCTACATTCCTCTGAAAATGTGCAGGTACAGAGCAGAACAAAACAACGCCTGAAGAAAACCCATCAACAATCCTCAGAAATCTAGAGGAACTATTGATTAAGACTTATTTAAATGATTATAAGGATATCTGGCTGCTTGGGAGCAAATTTAACCAAAATGTCAAGTATATATTTCATACTTATATTAAGTGTATTTATTGTCATACATTAGATTGTAGTGAACCAGATAACCTCAAATATACCAGATGGACAGAGACTGTTATTTTCATTGATCTGAATAAGTCTGAACCATCTGATGAACTTCCTTGCTGGATTACATCAAGCTCAAGGACATTTGAAGGTCTAAGTTCACGGTTGGAATTCATCCCCATGGACAGGTGATGATTTCCAAAGGGGGGACTGTAGTGAACCAGATAACCTCAAATATACCAGATGGACAGAGACTGTTATTTTCATTGATCTGAATAAGTCTGAACC